TATACATTGCAATATTTCCTGCAGAATATAATCACGGAAATGTGTATAGCTCTATACGATACAACCCGTCCATTTAATTATCGGCATTGTAGGACGTTAATTCAAGACGCCGGTGTGCAGTAAGACTCGTGATCGTGAGATCGATTAAACTAGGTAAAGTTGTTTCTTGGTATATGCCAGATATACGTTACGAGAAAGGAGATGCAGAATAATCTTGTGTCGAAATCATCAAGACATTTATGACAATATAAAACCAAGCGGTTGTCTCATTAAAGATTATTGATACGACGACCGCTTCTTACAATCTTAGATTTTGCTTTTATCAAATATTTATCGGAGCATTGAGGTAACTATAATATATATTTCATATATTACATAATCGAATTACATTTACAGGTAGTTATTGAATATATTTATTTGATAAAATATTTAAAGAGATGTATACTAGCAACATTAAAATTTTATTTCGTTCGGTAATAAAGAATTAAACACTTGATTCGCGCGTTTAATTTATCGGTTAAATCCGGAAAGTTGATAAAGCCACGAGAACGCGTCTCTTTTGCATATCTTACGGTGTATCTAGTTACGTGCCGGTGCCGGCGGCACCGTAGTCACGAATTTTTCAGAAAGTTCGAAAGCAGGAAGCACCGATTCCCCGATTTCAATTCAGCCAGTACGAAATTTTCCCCTCGTTCCACGAGAGCGTAATAGTCCCGCGTCTTATTCCCTTCGTGACCTAGGGCGAAAAAAGAAACAAAAGGGGCAGCGCACTTCAGCTAATGGTAATCACTTCCTCGTCGGAGCGCCCGTAAGAATCCAACCTGATTTGCGATTTGATTATGTCGTTCCCGTATTCATTACAATTTCTAAGTAGTGTGCGGCTATGTCGAAATGGAAAACAGCAAGCTGTAACATGGCGGGACATATATACGTCTCGTTCCTCCATCAACCTCAGCATGTCGTCGATTCCTTCAGCGTGTATTTCCATGAATATTACACGAGAGAAATGTACATGCTACAAATTCTTTCCTGTATTACCTCATGATGTATAGCACGACTTTTACTTTCTGCAAATTTTAAATTAAATTATTAATATACTGAATAATTCATTTATTGCACATTGCACAATTGTTGTCAAATCTTTGCCAAGTAATTTTCTTAATTTATGATAAAATTTATGAATTATACATGAATATTAATTACACAATTATTTTAATTTGATGTAAATGATTGTATTTGTAACCGCAGGCAGCTTCTCATGGTTATATCTAATTATTATTTTACCTATATAAGCAGGTAAAATTAAAATCGGTGAATTATACTTTATCAATTATTTTCGACAATTTTACATAGCGCTACTCTTTACATTATTATTATAGATTATTTAGATTATGTCATATAGATTTAAAATATGATTCCAAGAAGAAATTTGGAACAACTTATACATATGTAATAAAGACTTAAAGAATCTATAGAAAAATAAGTTGTAGCTTAGTACACAGATAGTGAGCACTAGCAAGAAAAACGCTTAATGCACAAGGCAAAAATTTGCTGATATGGATTTGTATAATAATAAAGTCAATTTCTCCATGCTAGCGCTTAAATCGATTCTAATTATCATAAAAGCTTGTTAATGCTACTGTTTAGCTACGCATAAACTACAATCAAGTCACTCTTTAGCGTTAATCAATGTCGTTTTTAGTATTAACGATGCTAAAACGCTTACTTTAAATATCACATTATACCATGAATGGTGCTTTGACAACCATTTTAATATTCGCAAAATAATATTCTCTCAAGTGCGCAACATTAATTACGATTAATTAGAAGTTTTGATAGATGAAGTAATTACCGCGGCATAAATTGACAAAGTTTATTAACTCTCATTAAGCTATAATAATCGCGCAATGTTCTTTTCACGCGAGGCGAGCGCGACGGTAAAGCGTCATCTCCGGCTGTGTCGCAAATAGTGACGCCGGGACAATGTTGAGAGTGTGACGACGCCACACGCGAGGAAGCGGAATTCCCGCATTGGTGTCGTCTCCATTGTTGCAGGATACGTAGTGTCATTGAAAAATGGGGCCGTGCAAATAAAATGCTTAGTAAGTAGTTGAATAGCAGTATATGCATATATAGTCTCCTTTGGAAGGATAATATTATTATTTATAGCAGAGATGATTATATAGGTACATGTGAAAGTTTTTGTTAATATGTATTTTATTATATATATATTAAAATTTTTAATTTTACAACATATATGCATATTAGGGTGGTCGTTAAATTGAACATCATGTTGGATGGTCATAAATCAGCTCCAAATGTAGAAAAAATAATTCTCTAATTTTTTCAGATTTTTATTTTCAGCCTTCCTGTTTACACGGGTTATGTTATATTCTTATATCAGTTCATTTATTTATTTATTTATATGTTATTTAAATATTATTTATATATTTTTTATAATTTGAAAAAATACTTAATTTACTTCAGTTCTAGATGGAGTCAGCTGCAAAAGTAGTGAACAAAATTATTTAATTTTTTATAAAAAATAGTCATAAATATTATAAATATTATTTAATTATTTTATACTATATTTGCGGTATTTTCAAATAGTTTCAACTTTTTTCACTACAATTTCAAACTATTTACAACAAAAATTGATGACAAAAGCAGTTGCAGAACTGTGGTATAATAAAATTATTAATAAAATTACATGCCAACAGGGAGACTCAGGACTCAAAATAAAATCTGAAAAAATTAGAGATTTTTTTTTCTACATTTAGAGCTGATTTACGACCATCCAACATTAAAATTTTGAAAAAACCTATATAACGACCACCCTAATGCATATGCTTAATAAGTAAAAACGTTATATATTTCAAAATTATTTATATTACTTAAATATGTCAACATTTGTCAGTACAATGCAAATGCATTCTCATACTAGCGAGATGCACTCAATCAATGATTTTTTCAAAATCTGCACGGCAGCATTGTCGAAAGTAACAGTTTGCCAGACTGTATTATTACTCAAGAATTACATTCCGTACGAAACACGTAGCCTGCGTATCTTTCGTCACTCGGACTTGATTGTTCTATTATGCAGAAAGCGCTCGCGGTTCGTCGCTAGAAAGTAAAGTACGTTGTGCATGTTTAAGGAAGACCAATTGTCATGTCATCGTGCAACATTTCCTCTCTGAATTCAATGCGTAGCGTTTCTATGATAACAAATGTGGCAAATGAAACTGAAAGTGAATGTGTAGGCTATATCAGCAGCTATTAATATGCAAATAATGCGCGCACGCGTACTATATATTTTTATATTATTATAAAAAGTATATTATTATAAAAATATATAATTTGCCTTTATTAGCACATCTCAAATAGATTCCGTATCTTGATGATCTAAGCGGAAGGTGATCAAGGCTTGTAATCCTTGATCGCGATACGCGGTACGATAAATTACGAGAATCTCGTGGAATCGCACCAACAAATTGCCGGTTGGTGCCTCATTACATTGCGGCGAGCCGTAATTGGCGTGGAGAAATACCGCCGACAGATCGCGATTTAACAAGTCCATTGAGCTAATTTCTTTCGAGGCGATTCGAAAATCGGAGCACGACTCGATAAGTCGAAAAAAAATGATGCATTTAAAGAAACACCGCGAATCATCTCGAAAATAAATATATTATAGATGAATAGACGCGCGCATTCATCAAACTAATTAAAAAATTTTATAATACTAGGTAATTAAAAAATTAAAAACACATAAAAGCGATTTCCTTATCGCAGTATTAATCCAGGTATTATATAAATATCTTATCCATCTCCTTAAAAGCGATTACATTTGTGAATAAATCGCTTATAACGCTAACTATCGGCGCTCCCGAGATTTATGGCGGAATAAAAAAAAGAGACGGAAAATGTCGGAAGCGTTGTCGACCCGATGCTGTGTGTCTGAGACACACAGTTGACAAGCGGAGTCGAGGGAATGAGGGTCTTAACTTTATACAAGTATCTCTGGAGACGTACTAAATCCCCGGTAAGCGTCTACGACTTGTCATCGACGTAATTGACTTTCTCTCGTGTCGAGAGAATGAAAGAAACCCGGCAAGATCGTCCGTCAGTAAGGTACGAACTAATTAAAGAAGTCCGATGTCCGCCGGCTAATTAATAACGGCTTGATTGGCTATAGAACAACATATACGATTATGTTTCTCTTTTCTTCCATATGTTTTAAAAATGAATTTTATTATACCGATAATTTACAAAAGGCACGGGGATTATAATTTAACGTTTAAATGAGCGTTGGCGAAAAGCGGCGAATAATCAAATTTATTTCGAAAACGAACAAGAACAGCCGGTTTCACGGATGAAATAGTCGCATTCCGCAGGAACGTATCCCCTTGCTTCGTGGTATTAAAATGTATTTTACGAGGACATACTAATTTAAATAAATAACTTAACATTATTGCATCATATAATTCAGGTGTTGTTGTAAGATATATTTGTGTAAATTTACACGTTTAAAAAAAAAATTTTTACACAAATTTGAAGTATCCCTTAATTCGATAATACATGAAAAACATAAATTATCGATTTTCACAATATATTTGATTCGGCTCTGGATATAATGTAATCTATGTGACATTTTCAAGGTGTTCCACAATGCTCCTTAAAAATCGCGATGCAATACAAAGCGAGCAAACTATTGCACGCGAATGATGCATGCGACCAGTTCGATGATCTATGCACGTAATCGAGGGTGGTCATTAAGGAACTGCAACATGTTTTGCCAAGTTTCCATATCGACCGTCGAAGTCGTTTCACCGCAAAGTCGAATCGCGGATACATGTTTAGTTGAAAAAAATGTTTCGTTCTTTGGCCCACGGTGCCATAACTGGGTTGTAAATATCAGTAAAGATCAATTTAACCATGTTGTGCATACATATTTATCAGTAGGATGTAACATCTTTTACAAAGATCTGTTTTCTTTGTTTCAGATGGAGCGCCAGTTCCCGAGGACGCGGTCTCACATGAGGTAAGAAAACATTTTTCAAGAATAATAAAAAAAGAAACCACATAGTATTGCCATGCCGTGTCTCAATGCGAATGTTTAAAGCCTGATTTAAATCGGAAATCGCGACACATACGTATACGTAAGGCGAAAGGATTGCCTCAGGAGTCGCCTGCATATTTTACACGGATTATCACGGATTCGTGCAGATATCATCTCGTTTTCAAACACACTTCGTGTTCTCTTTTCGTATCATATTAAGTTAGTTTATATTAAGATAGTTATCTCTACATGATTATATTAACGCCAACCATTGAGCGAAGATAAGATCTTCTGATAAAATTAAAGTATTACAAAATGTCTTTATAACTTGTAGCGTAATCAGAAATTAATTTTATAACTGCAGAAATATTTTATTAATATGTAAAATTAATTATTACAATTTAATTTATAATTCGAATTTAATGAAAGTCGCCGGTAGATAAAATCAAAGAAAGGTTTTAATTTAATTTATATTATCTTATCTCTTACACACGCAAAGGTATATATGTAAACTTTACTTTATACTTCAATTTTACATACATCACGTTTTTCTTTTTTATTTATATCAATAAGATATAAAAATATGGCATATCTGAAAAATGCAAATATGCATTTGCATCCTTCTGACTATGTTCTGCTCTTGACCGTCACACTCATAACTCTGTTTATCGATAAAGTATGATTACATTTGTCGCGATAAATGCAAATAGTATATTCCTGTTGCGATATTCATAACTGCTTGAGCGCTCATGTATGACGTGTAATAAATCAAATGTATGATTATTTCAGAGATCATATTGACAATATGCTATAAATTACATTTATGATAACGCAAACGAGCAATTATAGACAATAAATTATATAATATTATAACAATGTACTAACCATCAATGAGACGCGTCAAAGGTATAAATATTAATTTTTATAATAATTTTCGTGTTTGAACAAATTTAACAAGTATTTTTGTTAAATTAAAAAAAATTGCTTTCTTATGTCGCTGCAATTTTTTGCAATTCTATTTCAAAGTGAAGAAAAGAATATTAATCCTTTCACTGAAAATAACTTTCTCTTTACGTTTTTATTGTTTATGCATCGTAATCATTTTCCAAATAATCAATAAAACAAAACAATAAATGATACTAACGCTTTAAGTCGGTGAATCTTCCTAACATATAAATTTTTCGACAAATCCAATCTTATTTAAGCTCCTTTAACTTTATTATTAATTTACAGACAGACTTTAATCGATGAAAAGAGGTATTATAAAATTACAAGTATTGTATTATATTTGACGATCAATCAGTCGAGTAACCGATGTTGATTTCGTTCCAGGATTTCTGGTGCACTTTCTCATGTGTCACAACACATGCGCTTCGCTAATAAAGCTTACGTATAAATTTCCTCGTGCTAAGACGATTCGTGCTGCTTTAAGAGAATCACGGATCATCCATCGTATGGCCCGCGGCTGCTCGCGCTGTGTGATTGCCTTTAATTCACATATAATTCATACCGACCAACGCGGATAGACGCGCTATAGTTAATTGGATAGCGCACACGCACACACGAAGATAATATAATAATCTTCAGGTGTACATCATACATTTTACCCGGTAAAAGAACCGCGTTGCGAGACTAATTTACGTCCTGTAATCGCGTAATAATAGATGTCCTTCTTTTCCTCTCGCAGCCTTCTGCTCTTTGTCAATCCTCGTCAATCTCGATCATTACAGGGAATATTGAGCCTTTCATATTATTATAGTTTAAATCCTGTTTGAATATTACATGGAAAAAAGTCGGGATAAGTGGAAAAGCAGATAATACGTTTGAGATCATACGCAAGAGAGGCCACAAGAACTTTCTGATCAAACTTACTATTTTATCAGTTACACTCTAATTCTTGAATTATAAGCAGTTAATGTAATTATGTAGAGCAAATCGCGGAACTAATTGCGTTCTGTAATTATATATAACAATTATAATACGTCTTTTTGTGTTTTTTTTTATTATTATCACTAATCGAGTAGGTATGTCCCTAGTACATTAGTATATTTAGCCCGAGTATAAGAGATTTATATCTTTTCTTTTTATTACTTAATAACGTATATATTATAATTACTTCTAATACATATTTTTGATTAAGTTTTATTGAAATATAATAATGTTCATATTTGTATGTTGTTTTGTCGAAATAATAATTGTATATTTCAGAGAACTGTTTTTAATGCACATACGAAGAAAGATTCAGATCTATGATCGAATAGAAATACTAGTACTTTTATTATAGCATTTATCTTGCAACTCTCTCGAACATAGGACTGATTAAATCATGTCTTGTAATCATATAATTATAACTTTTCTTTTGGTTTTTTACTTAACTCTTCTAATTATATACGGTATGATATTAATTTCATTATTCACTGCTCTATTATTTTCAATGGATCTTTTTATTTGTTTTTAAATATTATTTTACAGATTATCTATTTCGTATCTGTACTTATAGCACGATATGTGTATGCAACGCAATTTTGAAAAGTTTATACTAATATTATATACCATACGCATCTCAAAAAATATAATACGCATTAGCAAGTAATTTATTTTCTAATTAAAACTAATGATTATATGATTATGTTGCCATAATGGTTAATATCATAGATATTTAATTAATATTACGTATCAATTGAGATGAATGAACATCCGAAACTTTCTGTACATGATATCGCGAAAGTAATGTTTCAATTCGTCTCACCTGTTTGTAGTACCATCTAATTAGTCGAAGCAGATGAATAATTACTCTACGGTAATTAACTGCGACACATTATTTTGTTCCTGATACGAAAAAAACGATTCGCTCCGTAAATAGAATCTTGTTCCTAAAGTCTATCATTTATTTCTCATTACAGAATGCGAAGACACATTTATCATGCTTATTCGTCGGTGCATGTACAATTTATTGTCTACATGTCCGTATAACATTCAGAATAGCTACCACAATCCTTCTTTGTCAGAATTATTCTTTTTCGCGGACCATTGATTTATAATCGCGTTATTACAAAATCATCCATATTTGTTCGAATAGTATTACGCGGAGTATATGTAATACGTAATATACAAAAAAATATATAATTATATTTATCATATAAATCTTTCAGAAGTCAAATTAATCAATTTCACTTTTTTATAATTTTTTTTATTTTAATACCAAAGCATATTATTATAGTACTTTAAAATTAAAAACTATATAAAAAAGTTGATCAATTCAGCTGCTGAGGAGAAAATTCATATATCCAATGTATAACAATAATTCGATTATAAATATATTGTGGTTGGCGATACAATCAGATTAATTTGCGAGCTTAATATCGTATTTGTAAGAACAACTCTGATACAGAAGCAAGATATTATATTGACTCCGAGAAGGCAGATACAGCTGTATCGGACGAGTGTTGACCTGACATATTCGTAACAATGCTAGGCGTGTCTCGCCAACGTGTTGCAACCAATTTCAAACGGCCATCTACGCGCTTTGTACGTATTATCGTCCCGACGCGTGTGCACGTACTCGACACAATCGTGCTCTTATAGAATGCGATATTGTGGTATGCCTGGATGGGTACATCGTACAATGTACGGGTCATGTATAACGTACCTATGGTGACTAGTCTTGTGCACAAACGATCTTGCACGAAGATGTTTTAAATGTCAAGGCGAGGACACGGTGGGCTCAGACCCGTCCCTCTTCGGTCGATGCCCTCTGCGAAAGGAAATGTTGCACTTATTGAAATCTTGTCATGCTTGAACAATCTTTAGTCATTGCGACCGCTTGTGGAGCTTAAAAAAATTATTCTAAAAAGAACGGTATAGAAAGTGTAATGTGTTCCGGAAATTATCCATATTCTACTTGCTAATTTCTCAAATAGGGAAAGAAATTCGAACGCGGAAAGTGCGATGGAAAAATGAAAAATTATAAAGGAATAGTCTTATGCTAAGTTTCTAGAATTTTTATTCAAGTTTCACTAGCGCGTAATTCACATAATTATCATGTAACATTGAATTATAGTGTTAAATGAAACTATCACTCGCTTCTTTGAAATAACATCAAACCGCAGAAAATTACGTAACAGAGAACTTAATATCCTTCTATCAAGTTTTTATTATAATCGATTAGCGCGATAATAATTTTGATAATTTAAAATCAATTTTCTGATGTTAGAACTCACACTATATCGTTACGCTCGTTGCGCAAATCATCGGGGCGCATATAGAAGCGCAAGGAAAGTTCATGCATTGCAAAATTATTGAATTTAAAAGAGCACGTTTCCGTAACGTGACTCGTGGAACATTTCTTTGCCCATTCCTCGGCTTGTATCGATAAGCTTTCTCCTGCTCGTATTCCGCATTTATTGTTCGAAAGGCAATGTCAATAATTTCCAGTATAATATTGTACAGAAAAATGTTTCTCTCTGTTGCAGGACTCCGTGGCGTCGGCGTCAGAAGTAGGCGAAGAATACGATGATTCCGACATGTATATGGAACCGGATGAATCCGGAACTTTGCAAACGGATCGTGTAGAAAACAGCACGCGAAATGATAACCAAGATAATAACCAGGATAAAAGGATAAAAGCAAGGAGACCTCACCCGAAACTGAAAAGGTTGACGCTTCTAAAGATCAAGAGGCGAAGAATACGCAACACACTGCCGTCGCACAATTCACCGATACGAGAGATAGAAGCTTGGAGACGCAGAGTCAGAATTTCTTTCCGTCCTTCGCAGAGCTCTTCGCGAACCACCGACTTCCGTTCGCAGAGCAGCAGCAACGATATCGTCCCAACAGATTTTTAGGCTACTTCCAACGCGATCGCAATTATCAAACCGCTGCGAGCAAAGATCAGCATTCTCTCCTAGGTTCAGGTAACTTCGGCGTGATTCGCGGCGGCACTTACTATCCGGAAGAAAAGGAGAACGACGAGTACTCGATAGACGAAAGTGTCTATAATCCGTACTATAATCGTGGTCGCGCGCAGTATTACAGGAATCCTAAACCCCAGCCAGTTCGTGGCGGCGACTTCTTCGCGAACTTCCGCGATTTTGCCGATATTACGGCGCCGCCGAAATCCAGTTTCTCGCACCTTTCCATAGTGTACGCCAACAAGAACGGCAGCTCCACCGGACGTGTCACGGAACCCAGAAACATCATCGAGACCCTCAGAATGTTGGAGGAAGAGGAGCGGTCTAATGTAGAAGAAATCACCACCACGGAAACACCGCAGAAGAAACAGAGTAAGGGCAAGTGGAAGCTCATGAAGATGAAGCAGTACGAAGAAGACAAAGCAAGGAGATCCCGCATGGCCGTCGAGCCACTGCTTGCTCTCAGCTGAGAGTCCACGAACATCGCTAAAGTGTACGCGGACGCTAACCTCGGGATTTCTCCCAAACGCGGAATCTGGCCTCGAGATCAGAACCAAAGTATCTCTGAAAAGAGTCTCTCTATCATTAGAGGAGAATGTTTTGAAAACGTGCGACAGAGAGAAAGACAGACGAGAAGACTCGCATTTTTATAGACGATATTACTGTGCGCGCGCGTGACTGAACTTCTCATATCAATCCGGAAAACTGGCAACCTGAAAATCTATATATTTTGAAATTAATTTCGCCGGTTAGAAGGTATTTAATTCCTAATGTTGGAATTCCGACGGTGGTCTGTAAGTATGCGGAAATGAGCAAACAAAAACATCAGTTCGTAGTCTTTAACATGTAACATTTGTACGCGAACTTTCTGTGACATTTCCAGGACGATTCGAGAATCCGAAATAATTAATTAGATTTTAAGATATTATTAAAAAAATGCATTTATGCGATACGCGAAGATGTTGCATTTAGAAATATAAAATACTGCCCCGTTTCTGTTTATTCACCAATCATTGTCAGATTCAAACTAACCTTAATGAATAAACTATGCTCTACGTTAGGCGATAGTCGCGTAAGTTCGAGAGATTCTAATTAGATAAGATTTTTTTGAGCCTGCAGTACATATCGATTAGGAAATTCCATGTGGCACTACACGTTTCGTCGACCACGCAGACACCTTCTGAAGAACTGTTCCCGTTTCGGCAAGACGCTTGCAAAGTTAACTTTATTATGCACGGAGACCTTTTACGTTGATTGAATTTATTGCTTGTACGTAAACGTTACGCTCGAGTAAACCTCAATTCTGGAATCGGTAACTCTTACCAACAACACTTGCGTTCGGGCGAAACCTGAATTTCACGAAGCTTGTGCGGCTTCGTTATCCTGTTATTATGCGAAATACAACATACGTAGAAAATATTTTAGAATATACATGAGATCCGTTTTTTTTTTAATTACAACTTTGCGTTTGTTGTTCTTTTCTCTTCAGAACGAACGTGACCTTGTTTTATTTTAGGTGCTAAAAGTGTAAAATGTTTATGTGAAGAATGAACTTATGAAAACATTTATGCGAAAATTTCTGGTCAAGTTTACTTGCAAAAATTGCATTATTATTGTAATTATATTGTATCAATGTGCTGCTTTTTTCTATAACACTTTAATGTTTCAATTAAAAAACGGAATATTGTGTTTATTCAGATAAGATATTAAACACGCTCGTAGCTGCGTACATAAACGCATAAAATTAATTTTAATTGGATATACTTTAAGTAAGAATCCGCATACATTTATTAAACTAATAAAGACTGTCTATTTTGTATTTGTTATTAATTATAAAAATACGTTAATTATTTCTCTCCGTGTTTGCAGGTCTAACAAGTCTGCCAATCGACCTCGAAATTTATAAAAAAATCTCTGAGCATTTTTGCCATTTTGATCATTATGAAATAAAGGATACTTAAGTACATTTGCCCTGGAATTTCCGTAGAATTCCAGGACGACTTTCACTTCGAACGAAATTCGCAGCGAAAAATGGCGTATTACTTAACTAACAAAAATGCGATTTTAAATCAATGGAGATTCTCTATTGCAGATCTCGATTCATTGTTGTTTTACTTGTTGTTGATTATTTTAACTATATTTTTAGACTTACTGAATTGCGCTAACACATATCCAAAACGTATGCCTCGTTCATTTTACTTTAATCAGAAGGGGCATGGTAAAAAAATTAAATAAAGTATATTTTTCGAAAATAAGATTCCTGATCCATAAAGTCCTACATTAATCTTACCTAGAAAATGCACATTATCGCACACAAGATTTAAGTAACATTAATTTTAATATTTTTAAAAACAAAATTTGCAATTTGCAATTTTAATTACAAAAATACTAAACATATAATTTAATATAATAGAAATCTTTATCTGTCGGAAATATAAATGGATACAAAAACTGGTAAACGTAATAAATAGTATTTGTAAAACATTATTACAATATAAAAATATTATAAGATACGATTTTTTTAAAGAGATATTTGCAAAAACATATTATTTATTTATGCACTTCTTTAGCGTCGTGACAAGTTTGCCAATACCTTCGTGAATATCTGAATAAGTAGCATGTTCATATAACCAAGCTGGTGTACTGACAACGTTGTACTTTTTACATCTTGTTACTCCTTTGACATCTTTTATTTCTACTTTAGCGCCCATTTCTTTGACCTGTTTGATAGCATCAGCGTATGGCCAGTCTTCTTTAGGTGCTGCAAAAAATTATTTACAAATATTAAAAAAAGGAATACCAACGAGAGAGGACAATCAATGACTTACATTCTTTGCCAAGTGTAACTTTTACGCCTTTCAACACTTTAGCGATAAGCGCACTAGCTATGCATATAGTGCCGATCGGTTTTTTCTCGCAATAAAAATCCTCGATTAGCTTCTCTAGTTCAGGTAAGACGGTACAGTTTGCACCTTTTTCGATAAAATTACTCCTTTATAAATGTAAAATAATAGTTGAATATTTGTGTAAAAATTATTACTACCCTTTAACAATCTATCCACGCGTTTTATAATATATTATTTATAATATATTATTGATAATATTTTAATATATATTATTTTCTTTGATTATTTTTTACAATTATCAAATTATGTACACGTACAAAGTGCGTGCGACACCGAATCCTCCAGGTATAATAAGAGCACCATGTGTACAAACTTCACACTCGGTCAGAGGTTTTATACATGCTCTTGCTAATCTCGCAGCTTCCACGAGAGCATTTCTAGGAGGACCAGCAGTATCCATCTTTCTTGTAAAATGATTGACTACGCCACAAATCTCAATGTCCGGAGCATAAAATTGCGGTTTCATGTCTTTCTGCCGTAAATGTATAGCTGCCGAAATAGCTTCTGAAATTTCAGTACCATCTAATCGACCGCATCCGCACAGAATCTACAGTAAAATCCGTATTATATATAAAAGTTTTATCTATTAAAAGTATGATGATCACATTTTTCGTTCAAAATTCTAGACAATTGAAAAGGTTATATATTAAATCGTTAATCATTATTTGGAATCTTAAAAAAATTTATATTGATACATTTTATGTTTTTTAAATTATACATTAAGATAAGCTAACTAATTGATATAATAGAATGCAATCAAATATAAGATTATTTATATCAAAAAAATTCAAGAAAACAATTCCATATAATTTTATTAAAGCCAATTAGAAAACATAGACTATTAATGTCTGTGTTAGTAATTTATTTGAATATAAATGTACAGAACTCTCATAAATTCACAAAACTGCACATTTTTCATCGTATTAAAATAACGTCATAAACATATTTTTTCTCACATTCGCGCTATAAACCTATATTATTATCATAAAAGCTTAATAACTTGGAAGTAATAATCATTATCACTACTTTTCTTACTACGTTTTTTTCCATATAGAAAGACTTTAGTTTCTTTCCGCCATAGACACCAATAAAACATCGCGTTATATCATACAACAAAAATTATTTCCCTCGTATACTTACAAGATTATGCCAGAGAAAAATTTTAATACTGCTGTAGTATCATAAATCTTAGATGAATAATTATATAGTGTTTGATTGTCAAGAATTGAATATTAATTAATACTAAGCATTTCTCTCACAAATGTTACAATAAAATAACAATTAAGATTAAAATAAATTTATTTAAAAACTGTAATTTTTGTTTTATAAATATGTTATTGCATAAACTTTTATTATAAATTATTATAAATAATTTTATAAAAACGTTTATATGAGAAATAATATATTTTATTGTTTAAATTTAAAAATATTCCATAAAATACTGTATGTACATGAAAATCAATATAGCATCGAAATACATTGTATGTAATTAATTGAAATAAAATAAAATATAGTATGTAATAATATATTTAAATTTAGCGTATATTTATGCACAAATTGTTTTTTCTCTCTCTCTATAAATTTTGCGCAAATATTTTTGAGTTACATTTGTGTCTACTATGTAAAAAATTTTATTTTTTGAGAAGGATGTCACGCGCAAAATAATGTACTTACCACAGCTACAGGTATACCTTCACAGCTTTTATCTTTTTTTGCTTTGCTTTTTCCAGTTGAAATTTGCGACGTGTGAAGGTTATGAAAAAACGCAGTTATAAAACTGGAAGTGTCATGTTGCAAAAAGATTTGACAATTTGTTTTCGCAACATTTTTTTCGCATAAAAAATAAAAAAAATTTTAATTTATTAATTATACATTAGCATGCATTCAATTTCGATGACTAATTTTACAGAAATGTTTGCCACGAATCTCTCAATTTGCAAAACTACGATTATCTATGATCTTGATTTGTTTTATCATGCTTCACAGAGTGAAGGGATGCAACCTTCCTTATTAATCGTGCTTCACAGCGAACGTTCGTGTAGTTCCAGAGATCTTCGTAAGGGTGCAGATTCATTCAGAATTCCAACCAGTGTTCCCAATGTCCAACGGAGAAACTCTCTCTCCGTCGATATACACACCGACGATGGTTTCGCAGTAACCACGGTCGGTTTGATTCAACTGAGTTTCACGAGAGCCACGAGAGAAAGAAAATAATATGAAAATATAACGATATATAAGAGATACGCATAGAGATAAAATTAAAACAAAAATATTCTCGTAGTATATCTTACACGCTTAAATAAACATTGGTTAAACTGAACTTACTTTATGGTTCGTATAATCTTTATTGTGCTCTAGGAGCAATTTTCGCTCAGACTATGAATACAAAACACACCATGGGATGGGAGGTAAGATTTAACAACGCCACGAGGCAAAGAACGGCTATACGCGTGATAATAAATCCTGTTGGCTTATTGAAATATAAAGTAGTTTGCAGGTCTAATAAAAATTGATTTTTGTACTAGTATATAAAAAATAACTTTACCATCGTACACGGGAAAAATTTGTTTATTTATATATTTTACTTAAATGAATTAATTATTTATGATGTGCGTATATAATACGTAAGTTATTAATTTAATTTTTAAAATACTTGTGCTGTGCGTACATAATATTATATTAATTTTATGCAATCCTATTTATTAAGACCATTGTTTTACACGTTACAAAATTATCTATACAAATATTCAATAAAAAAAGACTACATATCACATGCATGTAAAAATATATGAATATATTGCGCAAACAAATTTTATAATCACAAGTAACACATGCAAAAATAAAATATAAAAACGAATTATATATATATATATATATATATATATATATTTTATTAAAATGATAAGATTGGTGAACAAGAACATTTGTTGAACAAAGTTTCTTTTCTCTTATACACATACTCAAGATACTAATATCGCCACATAACTTTTTCTAAAATTTAAAGTCAGATCGCATTACGAAACTGATAAAAAATTTTTAAATCACATTTGATCGCTCGTACTTTCCTGGAATCGACAATGACGCTTATCACGTCGCTCGTACGTCATATAATGCCGCTTTATTATAATTATCAGTGCGAGATGAGCGCACCCCGGAGCGTTGTTTCGCCACGATACCATTTCGTCGATCCCCTTTCCGCGAGGCGTACGAAGGCTTACGCATAATCTTATGTAAATCCCAAGCCGCCCTTATGCTTGCACGTCCTTACATCGAGGAAGAGAGCGTCGTACATGGGTTACGCAGCGAAAGGGATGCGTAGATGACGGTTCAGGGGCTCTCTCGCACACGAGCGAGGGCGCGGGGCTTATATGAATGTTAAAATAAGTTTGAAATTGTCGCGGACAAGTTCGGCCCCGGGGGAGGTACCCGTCGAGTAATTTCACGGCACTGGTGGTTTCGACCCTTCGGCGAGTTTGCAACCAGCCGCGGATTCGTAGAAACTTCTGCGGCTTCACGGCGCGACTTCCGCCACCTTTGCCGATAGCTTGACGATCATTTACTTTGACCCTGGGAAATGCCATTATCCGTGTTGTTCTCAACAAAGAAGATTAAGATGTCAGAGCATTTTGCTCCATTTGAGATTTAATCTGTTTATATTTATATGAAAAAAGAAATTTGAGATAGAATTATCTAATCTATATACGAGTATATGAATTTAATATCATGTCGAAATGTTGTTTGGCTTCTCTGTAGATTGAAAATCTATTCGCTTATAAAATCAGCTTCTCTCGCTGATTTAATACGTACTTGATAAAGCGTCACTGAAAGAGCGATAGGAAAACTAACGAAGTTTTGGAGACGAAGCGTAGCAAAGAAGCAATACTGCCAAGGCGACCCGACGCGCAAACTAAAGCCGTTTTGCCGCGTGACAGCTTCGTGAGATCCTCGCCGGTACGTGATGCGTCTCACTCGAGAGGAAGACACCCTCTCGCGTCATCGTTCTCGAAAAGTTTAAATCACGAATTCGCGGCGGCCCCCCACGGCGTACACAGACGTGAATTCGGAGAGGGTCGTCAGAGAGTTCCGCCGGGCGGGAGTCTGATGGGTAAATGCGATGTGATGCGAGTAACTGAGTGGCTAATTGAATGAGGTGCCTCCCAGGAGCGCCGATCCGTCGCGTGTCACACGTCAGAATTTGCGCAGCGGGAACGCGAAATTACGACGATTGTCGGGTCGTGTGCCAATTATCCTCGCGCGATATGATTGCCAGCGCGGGAAATTATGCGATGCCGAACGATGCCGAATCCTGGCCGATGCATATACGCAACTAGGCAGTTCGTCAGATTCGTCAGGAAACTGCGACATTTCTGCTCCGATCATTAATAATCCATTAACGGTATTGGACGCTTCGATTTATAGGAATATATACCCGATAACGACGCAACCTAGCAACCTGGGGGAGAAAAAAAAGGAGATCGTTTGTCAATTTTACGGATCGCTACTGATTGGTTTCTGAGCCATGTCACGCTACGTCCATATTTTATGCGTATAAAATTCCAAAGAGAAAGAGAGAGAAAGAAGGGAGACGAGAGTGATGCGATATTAAATATAGAAGTAACGATCCGGAGATTGCGAATTTTATAGTATCGAAAAAAGAGACTTGCAATAGATTTTGTTCAGCTATCGTTGAATTCATCATTAATGTAAAGTTGCAGGAAACTTTGGAAACGACATTGATTTAATTTTAACCAATTCTGAGTGCGCACATTCGTATAAACGGAAGTACTATCAAATAGAACGCTATAGACAAAACAATCAATGTGACAATAAATATGAATAATTGCGACTTTAACGAAGGAATAGTAAATTCATCGATTTGTTTGCATTTTCGAGAAATCTTGGAGAAAGCGGGACGGCATGAAGGCATTGTAAGCGGACGAAGGCGTTGCGGATCTGTAAAGAAGACTGCTTATGCATTCTTGGCGCGAAGGCAATCGCGGGGATGGCGGGTGTTGGATGCTGTGCGAGAACCAGACAAGAGAACAATTACGCGCCGTCAGCCCCGTGACCGGCAGGATACCATGAGGTGAATCAAAACTAGGTGTGTGCCATCACCCCTGGGCCAGGTCTATCTGAGCGTTCCGAAGCCACGTTCCGCGTCCCGAAGGAGAAAGATCGAATCTCGATCGGTAAGCGAGATTGGCAGAATAGGCGAGTGCCTGCAAAGAGCAATTTACGAAGGGCAAGCAAAAAATACAGAAGAAAGTTGGAGAAATCTTTGTGCAAAAAATTTTAAATTTCTCTTCGAAATGTAATAACATATTGTTCATTTTTTTTACAGAAATCTCATTATGATATGTAGTTTTAGTTGGTATTTTGTAATTTTGTTTATATATTTTACACTGTGTCTGTATAGTACACATAGTAGAATAATTATTTTAATTAGTTAATACTACAAAAAAGCAGCAATAACATAAATTCTTTTTATCATACATGCACTTTCAAATGTTTCGACAAATTTCCAAACAAACAATCCGATGAATTATGAAAAATGAATGGCGATCCACAATTAATGACTGGAAGAACCATTTATCGTTGAATCCCAGCGATGACAGGAGGATGTATGCGATAATTTATAGCTATGGATTTCTAGAATGCTGCATAACACTTTTCATGAAATAATATAACGAGATACTGTTAAATCTTTATCGAGATATTTCGATCAATTTTTTCACAGATTTTTCAAAAATTTAATATATCACGATTAAATGTTCTCTTAATTAAAGTTCACGCGCATTAATGTTAATTTAAATAATAATTCGTTAGAAGTAAATTAACACACTTTATATGCGTTGTAAAGATATCTCTCATCGATTCCGTTTCTCCTGCGAACCATTCTATGAGAATAATTACAACAGCCAATAATTAAAGTCATACGTCAGTCGGCGAGACATTCGCCTTCGTATTCTCACGACAAATGCAAAGTACGACTCAATTTTCATTAGAGCAATCAGTTTCGTGTAGATCGCGAAATGTTTACCGAATCTGTTCGTGTCAAACAAGCACATGTATACTGAATGGCGTGAAATCTTTGAGCAGAGCAGCTGCTTCACTCCGCATACATCATTCGCCCGCAACGAAATTTAAAAATCGTCTGCCTGCGTGCGAATATCAAGAAAGTCGGAGTGCCATTAAAATCTCCGTAAAGTTCATCTCACCAGAATAAATGAATAAGTAAGAGGTCTCGTTCGTGGCGGAACGAAGGGGTCGGTTGGTATAAAGCGACGGCATAAAACGGTTTACACCGACACTTCGGCATTAAGCCTGGCGCCCTTCGGAAAGAATATGCAGTTTAAATCTACTGCGGAACACACCGTCTGAAAGAGATTCTGGAGAAGATGGACATTGTGTGTGCGTGAAGCATATTTATATTTTATTGAGGAAAATACGCACAATAATCCGGTGCGTGATCCCTTATATTGTCTTATTCTTGGACTAATTTGGAAGAAAATTATACTCTATTTGTCTTAATGCAATTTTCTAATAGTTTGTTTCAGATAAATATTTCTCATTAATTACTCTTCATATGCGTTAACAGATATGTTACCGACAACATTCGTAGAAATGATTTTTCAAAGATCACATTATTCGATTATGACTACTGATTATTTTGTCCGAGGAAGCGTAGAAGAAGGAATGAGAGTCCTCTTTGCAGAACGCGAGCAGGCTAGTCTCGAGAATTCGAGACGAGTTTCGTCGTGAAAGAGTTTTATTGTATTTTTTTCATTAACAAGTCCGGCTCGTTCCCTGGAGATCGGGAAAGTTGGCGGCGAGTTTTAGCGAGACTTTTGTTAATGTTCGGAATTAACGGAGTAAGGAGACTTTAAGTCATAAGGCCCCATGGGAGCGCGGGGTTCGACGCGAACTTTCACGATTCTTTATTTCTTTATCAACTCCGACCCTCGCCTTCCTACCTTCGCCTCGCGGAATGCTCGGCACAGTGCGACCGAGCGTTTCCTCTTCCTACGCAAGTGTGCTCCATAATTACTTTGTTCGACACAATTCTCTTATTTTCATTTTCGTGAGCTCTTTTCATCGTCGCTCGTGAATACGAACGAACGAAAAATTCGTCCTGCCTGCTCTTACGTAACAAAGCTATTGTATCATGTGTGGGTTTATAAACGCGTGATTTCTTTGCCGTTTCGCTTGTGCCGGCACGTCCGGATTTCCCTATCGAAGAGGGTCTGCGAGGGATCCAACAGGGGACGATTTGGCTCGACAGGCGGTTGATTAGTTACATGAGAGTGGATACCGCTATTCTACCCTCTCTTCTACCTGTGCGATGATGCACGATCGCCTCGGCCACCTAAGCATCGTCAATGGGATGCATATGTCAATTGCCATGCTAACGATATGTCTACACAATACGGTACACAACGCAATTATGTTACATTATGCGTGATGCTATGCGCGCGGTTTATGGAAACGTGTTTAAGTTGAATGCAAGACACATTCATTTCAACACTTTTAGGTTTTATTCATTAAAACACTTTTTAATTATATATATTGAGTAGAAAAGTAGTTCCAGAAATATTTGCAACATTCAAGATATAAAAAGTCATTCATATATTATAGATATTTAAACCTATAATGTTTTTTATATCTAGAAGTTAGTATCGTACATAATAATATATTAATTTACTCTTATTCTTTCTTTCCAGAATTATTCTAAAAAGAGAAATAAAGAATTAAAAAATTTAGAATATTTTTTTTTCGATCAATGTTTATACCATACATTGGCAAAACCCATAAATCTTGTCGACCAATGGTATTTTTTCGCGCGTTTGCAAGCTGTATGATGTACTGATCCTATTACGCAGTGCAGTCATAATTTTTCATGAAATAATGAAACGTTCGAAATAAAAAGAGTTGGAACGTGAATTTTTTGAAAGTAACATTGTGTAATATTTTGACACAGATGCATAAATTTACAAAATGTATATTTACTTATAAAAAAATAATTATTAGTTGTATTTATCGTATAGTATACACAAATTGAACGAGAAATTTTCGCACGAGTTTCGGTAATGAGGCGAAAATTGAGACAGCTTTATTAAGTTGAGGGAAGTTGCTCTGATGAAGTTACAATTACGGCCCCTTTGCCCACCAAGGAAGTCACCCTCGCAGCTAATTTTATTTATTACGCAATTTAAAAATCGATGCTGCGATTCGAACCAATAAATGAGCAGCGGCGCAAAGTTTTGCTATACCGTAACTTTAAAATTCTCTGTTAGATTTTAAATTATTTTTCAAGTATTTTACTTATAAACTTGTAAGCTTGCATGACAAGCACAACTTTTATTAACATTTCATATTATTGATTAAACAAATGAAACATAAAGATAAAATGCAAAATATTAACTTGAAATCTACAAACATATTATAATTCCGTTTATACATCTTACAGATGACATCACGTCATAGCGCAGCTTCACGTGAATGTTGCTGACAAGAAGTCTGATTCAGGATAACAAGTCGCTAACTACGAGGGCATAACAGCCATGCGCTAACCAAGTTAATC